CTGCCATTTAAAAAATGTGTTTCTTGCATTTCTTACCTTTTTTTTTAACCAATCGAAATAATAAATTTTATTTTCTTTATTTTCTGAATGATCCAAAAATCACACGAAAGGAAAAAAAGCCTGCTCGGCTTTTTACATTTTTACCAGGATATCCTCCAACTATCTGTATGTGCAAAAGCACCAAAAAACACCCAAGCCAAACAAAAAACCCCCACACCAATCAGACAAACAGACAAAAAAAAAAAAAAAAGCAGCCATCTGGCCTTTGTATCAAACTGCTGTTTAAAAGGAAGGGAGTTGAAGGAGTTAATTAAATAAAGGGAAAAGAAACCTAGTGTTCAAGAGACTTTACTGTCCATAGTTCATGGCATTTTCTTAAGAACTTCTTTTTTTTTTTTTTTTTTCTACTCAGGGATTTCTCATGTCCAATTTAGTCCATTTGTAAATATAACGGATTTCTCTGTATTCTTTCACAATAAAATTCTGAGTCTAGCTGGACGGTAAGCCTTGCTTCAGACATATCTAAAGAAATATAAGCAAGCTTCAGCTGCATGTATGGGAAGAGGCCTACTTTTAAACAAGCAGTTGTTTCTCACTTACAGCAGTAAGCAAGGAATAAAAACATGATGTCACATGTTATCTACTAGGAAAGGTCTCAAGAAACCAATTGTCATTTTGATCTATGTTTGTTATGGGCAAAAATACCATTTTCTGCATGCAGTTTTGGTTAGGGAATATTGTATTAAAAAGAAACAGCTCCTCAAGTCAGTCGCTCTAGTATTGGATCAGATATCACCTCTTCACTATCATTAATGTTGAATTTTGGAACCAGTTTTGAAGTGAGGACACAGTGCATTAGATTGCTGCATTCGCGCCGAGGCTTCTATGTTATAGACAATGAAGCATTAAAAGGCCTTTTGTGTTTTTATTTTAAAAAGTGTATTTTATATAAATTCTGTAGTGCAATAACTTCCTACTCCATGTTACATTCTTTACATTATGTGATTCCCCTGTAAACAGCTTTCCTGTATGTACTTACTTTGCAGTTTGTGCGATACATTATTCCCCCCACCCTCTATTTGGATTAATGTGACTATTCAAAAATTCTCCTGATTACCATGTGAAAGTTGTTTAAATGTGTACATTTGGTTTAAATGTGTAAAATTAATTGAAACTTTGATTCAGGATTCTGCAGTTCATATAAAATATAAAAAATAGATTGTTTAATTTCAAAGTTATCTCCCTGAACAATCTTCATTTTCCAGCGATATAAAGAGTCCAACTCCTCTTGGGTGCACAGGGGAGTAACTTCATCTTAAGACTCCCTAAGTTGTTTTGAAATTCCAGAACTTTTGGAGATTGGCTCCAGACCCTAAAAAAGGCTCCACTTACAGCCGTGATTGGGTGAAGTCTGAAATGGCTTGGAGATTTTAGAAAAACAGAAAAATATTTTGATTAGTTTTGCATGATTTACTACACAGCAATTCAAATTCATGATGAAGAAAGTTATTCTGGTCTGCACTTCTTTGACACGCGATATTGGGGTAAAAGTCCTGCACCTCCATTCAAGTAAATATTGAATTAGGAGTTTTGCTTGAGCTAGATGTTCAGGAATGAATCAGGAGTGAATCAGGAGTGAAGACTGGAAGCATCAAATATCCAAACCTGTGATTCAGCATAGTCAAAACTATGTAACAAATCAATCAAATTATAACAAAAGCACTTCTAAAGCTTGATCCTTCTGCTTCCAAGATTTCTAAAATTACAACATGTATTAAGAATGAAAATTGCATTTTTTTTGACTTGTACAGTTTCAAAATATCTTTGCATCTCTGAAATCACTTAAAATAGGGCAGTCAATAAAGGTTTGGTCTTCACTTACCTGACTAATATAGTTAAAGCTCCTGTTGGCTTTACTGGGAGAAAGTCTTGCTGTCCTCATTTACCTTTCATTCAGTACCAATTTCTGGCAAACTCCCATCTGAGGAATTTGTCTGCACAGGGCTGAGGTTTTGATTTTACCACTCCTGAATTTTCAGCAGTGTAAGTGGGGCAGAATCAGGTTTGCCAGGAGCGCTGATCTAGCTTGAGAGCTTTAAGAGTGAAAACTCTGCTCCGGTAACGCGTTCCCGGTGGCTGGACCTCTGCCCTTCCACAAAGCGCCGCAGATCTGAGAGGGCTGCTAGACAGCGCAGGGGTCGGCCAAGCACGTAGCAGGAAAGGGCACAAACCTCAGCCTTGCCAGAACAACACAGTTATCTTCAGCGGGAGGTTTCTAGGGATCCGGAATACAGGATCAGCTCCATTTGGGCTTTATTTGGTCTTCATTAGTTCACTAGGACGTAAAGGCAGATCAAATAGGCCCATGTGATTTCATAAAACTGCACATAGAAAATACAGACCAACACTTTAGGCATATAAAAATTCACTGGCATTTAGTTTGAGCCACTGAAAATATCTAGCAAGAGAAAGTAAAAATCAATTTAGAAGATTAATGACTATAAAATACTATAGAGCTAAGTTTTGGAACAGTGAGATGTAACATGGTTGCAAAATGTTAAACAGAATGTCAAAGATAAAATTGTATGTAGTAACATGTTGCAATGAACTGCAACTAAGGACAACATATATATATATACTTGAGAATTAATGACCAGACATCTGAAGAAATAACCTTATAATTCCAATGTTTGAGATGACTAAAGAGAGTCATCTAAATGTCATTTTGTAACAAACACCTCCCCTTAGAAAACAATCTCTCTTCTTTTTTTTTTTTTAGACAGAGGGATTTTGTTGTGCTCGTGATTTGGTCCAACCACTGGAATCCACGTTTTGGGGCTTTGCATACTTGCTTCTTTTCTATGGGCCAGACCTGAGCAATGTCTGTGGAATCAGCCCTGCCATTTCAAGCAGAGGTCAACATTGCTATAAAAATAATTGCTCTTTTACATTCAGTGTGCCTCATTTTTTACTCATTTCAGTGACAGGAAACGACACATAAGTGTAAATTAGCATAGGTCCACAGTAGGGAGCAGAGACCTAGTGTTACAGACTTTGTGTTAGTAAAACTTAATAGCTTTGTTAGTGGTTAGATGGGTACTTTGTACTGACGGCTTTGGTTCAGCATCGTTCTTCCACAGAACTGATGGAGAACTAGAGAGCATCAGAGAAACAGAAGGTGCCTTTGAAAGGGTCTGTGGAGCTATTGATATTTCCCTGTATTTGAGTATTCCTCCTTCACTAATTCAAGGATGGAATGGCCTCAGCTTTTGGGATAGCTTGGGATAAAGGTCGAGGCAATGTTGAGTGAGGCAACATCTTTTACCAGTCCAAATCTTTGAGCTGAAAAACACAGACAAGCTTCTGGGCATTGGAGACCTGGGGCAAGTCTTATTATGTGCCTGAAGGATTGTCTGTTTTTTCCAACTCCACCAATTGTGATGATAAAAGCTATTACCTCTCCCTGCAAAGCTTGCCCCTTTCGTGTCCTTACACCACAAAGGCTACAGCAGCACTGCCACTGTTGACATATGCTCCTGGATGTAAAGAAAAGGGGATTTATAGCTAGAGGGGAAGGAGCGTTATCAAGAACCCACGAAGATCGTGTAGAAGCAAATATTGTTAAGTCATAGGTAAAAAGCATATGGGAAATATTTCTTTTAATATCAAGTTAGAGGAAACACATTAAAAAAGAGAGAACTTTAAAACATGTCTATATAGCCATTTGGCACTCTTTATGGCCACAGAAATAAGTCTGATTGTTATGTATTTTAAAATGCAACTTTTTTTTCTTATTAGGAAATGTTGGCAGTATTCTATAAAAATATCAATTGCTTCAAGTTCTGGTCATTAAATCTTTGCTTTTCCTCACAGGATCATTAATCAAATCAACAAATGCAATAAGTAAAGTTATGCAAAAAAAAAAACCCAAAACAAACAAACAAACAACAAAAAAAATGAAACCCTATTATGATTTACAGCACAGATAAATTTAAGTACTGTAGTCCCTTAATTAACAGATATATCCATGAGCTTTTTAACAGAAAGCAAGATATGTGAGATGCTTTAAGTAAAAGTTGCAATTTTGCAACATAAGTCTGTACAAAACCTCCAGGCAGCACGCTGTGAAGGAATTACCTGTGTCCCAGGAAACTTTTTTCCATAAATCCTTGTTAGCAGTAGCTTTCCCCCCGACCCCGAACTATTTACAAATATATGCATTTTGCAAGCTCAAAGCACCTTGTTTCACGTCGTTATGAATGCATGCATTGACATTTCATCCTTTCATGTGCAAATTCTAAAATTCATTGTAACCAAGAAAACAAAAAAAAGTTAAAAGAGTTCAAAATCTGTCTACAATCATAAGTGAAAGGATCAAAAATGTCAGATGTTGCAAAACATGGGCTCCTAATAGAGCTCTCTTTATTTTATTCACTGTTCTTGAATCATTTTTTTCCTTTTTTTAAAATTTGTTACAAAAAGCAGTCTTTTTAAATTAAAGAGTATTTAAACTAAAACTCTTCATGCCATGCAAAAATAATATTTTATGCACTTTTTTTATGAGGCTCCCCACATTTTAGTTCATAGGCATTGCTAACTGTGGCTTAAGAAAAAGTATTTTTATTGCTTTTTTAACTAGTCACATGCTAGTTTCACGTGTCGGACAGTAGCCAGTTTCTCCTGGATTTGAATGAATTTCTGGGGCGAACAAGTGGTTTTCCATTTTGTAACCTTCTTGGTTACTGTCTGTCTTTACCTCGCCCCCAGCATGGTAAATGTCTTGAGTACAGTTGTGGCTCATGCTTTTGGGAGAGGAAGAGCTGACCTGGGGCTCCTCTGTTAAGTGGCTGCCATCGCTGTGTTGATCCCCATAACAATTTGCCTTGAGATCCTGTTGCTTTTCATGCTTTATACCACGCAACTCCATAAACTCTTCTTCTTCTCCAGTGTCCATTTCAGTGAAGCTCCTCCTCTCCTTCAAAGGGAAGGAGAAAACCTTTTGCTTGGGAAACAGAGGGGATGATTTCTTGGGAGGCCCCTGGCAGAGCACGGCCGCGTCGGCGCCGAGCAAAGGCCGCTCGCCCTGCGGGGAGTTTTCCTCGAGCAGGATGGTGCTGATGTGCCGCGGGGCGGCCTGCGGGAAGTCCGCGCCGGCCGTCACCGGCAGCGGGCTGTTGTCCTTAAAATTCACTTTCAGGGATCTGGATTTTAAAGGGTTGCTGCCTTTCAGAGAACTTTTGGGGCTCTCTGTGGCGGTGTCGAAATGCAAGTGGCCGTGCAAAACGCTCTGGGATCCGCTGCCGTCGCTGAGTACAGCCCTGCCAATTGGGTTATAGTCAAAGGTGATATCAGTTGGAGAAAACATTTTATCTTTTGTGAACGGTATAAAACTTTTTGCTCTTTGGTTGTCTTCCAGATTGACAGAATCCGATGGAAATCTCATTTGCAAGTGATGAGAGCCAGGGAACAGAGAAAGCGGAGACCTCTCTGTTTCTGTGAAGTCAGTGGCACAGCTGGCAAAACTATCAATACTAGATGTGCTTCTCATGTCTGTTACTACGTCAGTAGGTCCAGCTGGCAATTGATCTCTCTGACCCGCAACCTCTTCCATTTCTATTTCCTCTTCATACCCAGGTGGTTTTGCTGACTGGTCTTGGTAACCAGCATTCAGATTAGGCTGAGACTGAGTTTTAGTGATTTCATTGTATAACATCTCCAGTTTTTGGGCGCTCAGGTGTTGCGGGCTGGAGGATGCTGCAGCGTTGTTCAGTTGCTCATGAGAGTCTTGTTGACTAACTTCTTGGTATTTGTTCTCATAAGACTTGTTCGAGCTCGTTTCTGACATTGTCCTTCTGGTCCATTTCCACCGGCTTGGGGACAGGTGGTTGTCATCGGGTGTCTCCTTTGGATTGGCTGCTTCTTCAGCCTTACCTGAATCTACTGCTACATCAATCATTTCCATACTGCGAGCAAAGGCATCTTTCAGGTTCATGGAGACAATACTGCCATTTCTTTTAGCTCGCTCTAGCGCTTCTCTCCTTTTAATTGCCTTCTCCTGTCGTTTCTGCTCCTTGTAAAACTCTGAGAAATTATTCACAATAATTGGTATGGGCAGAGCTATGACCAGCACTCCAGCAATACAGCATAGTCCTCCAACTATTTTACCTAATAAAGTCTTAGGATAAATGTCACCATATCCTACTGTAGTCATAGTGATCGTTGCCCACCAAAACGATGCAGGGATACTGGTAAATTTTGTAGCATCCTCATCCTTTTCAGCAAAGAATACAAGACTTGAAAATATCATTATTCCCATGGCTAAAAATAATATCAACAAGCCCAATTCATTGTAGCTCCGTCTGAGAGTAAAGCCTAAAGACTGAAGGCCCGTTGAATGTCTGGCGAGTTTAAGAATCCTCAGTATTCTCATAATGCGAAATATCTGAACCACGCGCCTGACGTTTTGGAACTGCAGTACACTTTTATTGGACTCTGTGAGGAAAATAGTGACGTAGTATGGCAAAATTGCCAGTAAATCAATAACGTTTAACGGGCCTTTGAAGAACTTCCACTTATTTGGTGAGGATAGAAACCGCAAAAGGTACTCCATGGTAAACCAAGCAATGCACACAGCTTCAACGTGTGCTAGCTGAGGGTTGTCATTTGGCTGCCCAAATTCATCTATTTCTTGCAGTTCGGGCAGTGTGTTAAGAGACAAAGCGATAGTGGACAGTACGATGAACAGAATGGATACGATGGCCAAAATCTGTAAAACAAAATAAACAATGTTCTGATTAGAAAACTGTCCTGGGCACTGATGCAAGTAAATTTGGCACCTTTCATGTTTTGAAGCATACCAAACGCATTAGATTGTAAGTGCGTCTGATGTGAGAATAAGATGTATTTATTTCTCCTGCTGAGTGAATCATGGACCAACTTGCCCCCATGCTCTGGTGAATCTACTCTATATATGGTGTTATACATCTCTTTAGAGCTTTTGCTACACACAACAGAAAAAAGAAGCCAATCTTAGTAAAGTTTTTTCTAAGACGAGAAAGGAGAATGAAGGCAATAATACTGCATACCTGAGCAGGGCTGAACCATGAAATTTTTAATGGCCTGTAGCTAGAAGAAAAGTCAGACAAAGGGAAATACTATTGTAGAGCAATGACTACCTTCAACACTGTGAAAGTTGGTTATATTAGGTTTCACTGTAAGTCCTGAAGCTTAAATAAAGTACGTAAGGTTCTCTACTCTGCTGAAATTACTGTGAAATAACTAATGCATGCTTGAGTTCTCTAATATACTCAGTAAATATAATTATACTTCCAAAATTCAAAGAATAAATAAACACATCCTAAGCCTGGTACAGATCTGAATTGCAGAGCTTGCAGCTTCTGTCAATCAGACTAATTGCTTCCTCATTTTAGCCTGCATCAAAAAGTACATAATAGCATAGGAAAAAAAGCTGTATACCGCAAAGACACAATTACACAACAAACAGTGATCTGAGAAAATAAAACCATAACAACCTATTATCTGCCTTGTTGTCATCAGCTGAACTGGTTTTAAATTAGGAAATTTAAATTTCAAAATTTTTCATAGGAAATTTATTTTATACCTCAATATTCCCCAGAAAACAAAAGATCCCATTAAAAAAGAGGTGAGTTGATGTATCGCACCCCTCTTCTGCTGTGTGACAGTATTAAAACTCCATTTGGGACAGGTTGTTTTGTTGGTCTGGAATACATAACCTTCCCGGCCACCCAGGTGCTGGTAGCTAGAGTGACAATAACTGTCTGAACTTGGACGACAAGTTGACCATGAGGCAGCAGTGTGCCTTCATGGCCAAGAAGGCCAATGGGATCCTGGGGTGCATTAAGATGAGCGTCTCCAGCAGGTCGAGGGAGGTGATCCTGCCCCTCTACTCAGCCCTGGTGAGGCCACATCTGGAGTATTGTGTCCAGTTCTGGGCTCCACAGTACAAGAGGGATGTGGAGCTGCTGGAGAGAGTCCAGCGCAGGGCTACAAGGATGATCAGGGACCTGAAACATCTGCCCTATGAGGAGAGGCTGAGGGAGCTGGGAGGGAGTGAGGAGGATGGGGCCGGCCTCTTCTCAGTGGTGGCCAGTGATAGGACAAGAGGAAACAGCCACAAACTGAAGCAGCAAAAGTTCCACAGGAACTTATGGAAAAATTTCTTTACCGTGAGGGTGACAGAGCCCCGGAACAGGCTGCCCAGAGAGGCTGTGGAGTCTCCTTCTCTGGAGATCTTCCAAACCCACCTGGATGCCGCCATGTGCCACCTGCTCTAGGTGTCCCTGTGATTCTATGATCTGTCAGTCTGTTCAGGCCATTTCTTCACACACTAATCTAAGCATTGCCAGCTGTTTTAATAAAGCACACAGAATAGCAGGCCTAAAATTTTTTAGTGTTTTATGTATATCAACTACAAGTGTGAGTGAAAAAAAAATCAGAGCAAAAGCATTTTGGCTTCTTGTAATGTAAGGATATAAAGCTTTCATTTGCCTGGGACTTTGGTGTGTAATGAATTAAAGGTGTGCATCATTCCCCCCACAGGGTGTTTTAATTGCTGTCATTGAATAGATTTTACAAGTCATTAGGCAAGGAATGGAAGGTGATCCTAGAAAGAACAATAGAGAAGAAGAAAAAATAGATTCCCTGTTCTAAGTCTGCATAAAAAACACGTTGCAAGTAGCATTAGCTGGTAAATCCTCATAAAACAGATGAAGCTTATACTAGTGGAAACATGGCATTTATAAGAAAGGCCTGTAGCAATGTGCTAGGCCATTTAAGTTGATATAGAGGAGTGAAAAAAAGACAACTGACTTGATCACTCAAAAAAATCCACCTCTTGTTAAACTTTAAAATAGTTCTTTATAAACTGCCAAATATTTCCAAAAGACTGTTCTTTCCTGCGTGCTGAGTATGAGACTTTGATTCTACTGCTGATGAAATGGATAGCAAAAATTATCCCCCCCAAAATGGATAGCATTAAAGATGCAATTGTAACACACGGCAGAAGGGTTCAAGTAGCTCCGTGTGGTTCTGCAACAACTATAATTGTGAAAAGATTTCTGTGACAACTGATGGGCCAGGGAACTGTAGCATCAAGCAGAGAAGAAGTATACGTGACATTCACACTGAGGCTTAGATGCTTAGGGAAAGTTCAGCTGAGTTGTGTCTAATAGCCAGTGTCGGCTATGTGATTAATTGTAAGCTCTGTATTAATTACGTTGTTCCCCTAATTTTTGGTCCAGAGTAGGACTGCTGCTGGGCAGGTAGTAATGCAAGAATTCCCAGGCCATTTAGAAACAGCAGAAAGAGCTTGATGCTGGTCTGACATCCTGGGTATGCAAATAGGCAAGAGTCCATACATTTAGGAAATGTGACATGCCTTCAAGCAGGAAGAAGCATCCAAGTATTCCACCCTCATTTCCAAGTTCGATGTCCAGACTCCAAGTGAGCATCTTGCCATGTCTTTCCATTACAAAGACCTGATGTTTTCCATATTGTTAACGGAAGGAATAGACACCTCGCATAAGCTGACTGCACTGCCCTCAAATATGTGCCCTGAACAGTCAGTCAATGGGGCAAAACTGGGTTGATGGGACTGACTCACACGATCCTTATTTTTTTAGGGACAAGTGCTTCCATTAGGCTTTCAAATGGCACTGACTTGCTTTCATTCTTACTCATGTTTTCTATTTGGCCTGCATGGTAAAAATCAACCATTATGTTTTGCATCACTTATGGAACAGAAGAAAAAGGAGTAAAAGGAACAGAAGGCATTGCTTGCTTTTGAATGCCTTTTGTCATAAAGGAATGTACAGTAGTGACAGGGTCGGCCCCATGCCAATAGTCTTCCTAGTACTCATCCATGGAAAGAGATCATTCTGCCACTGCTAACTGTTTGGCAATCACACTTGTAGCAGTATTAAAACAGACTAGACTTTAATTAGACTTAAAATTCACTTAGACTGAAAGTGAGTGAGCAGGCACAAGTCAAGGACATGTTTCTGTAAAAAGAAAATAGAAATATGCAGAGGCTATATTATGGCCTCTGTATTAGGGATATTTTTCTGTGTGGCCTTGTAAAAGTGTATTTAACTTCAATCTCTGAATTTAACCTGTTTTAATCTCTGTGAGGTAACGTGCCCACAAATAGGGAAGATATGTTTATAGGCTTGATGCAAAGCTTATGGTAATCAGTTTGACTCCACTGCATCCTTTACTGTCTACCGTCTTCAGCTTGTGGTGTTGAGTTTGCAACCAAGCAAAATGAAGGGTTTTGCTAAATAGCTACCTTGTACGTCAGGCTAGATCTGTATGTGCCCTGTTGTTGATGACTGGGGCTATCTAAAAAAGGAACTGCTTGCAGGAGTAAAGGCAGCACTACCAATTGAGTTCAACAGTACAAGGACAGGCACAATTTTACGTCTGTACTACCTGCACAAATACAAGGACATTTTATCAGACAATCACAGCACTTAGTGCAGGAGCATAGCACTGCCTTCAGCAGCTGCCAGCACTCTGCAGAATGATGCCAAGAAGCAGCATCTCCTTCCCTGGTCTCTTCACTGTCTCCCTGCCTTGGGACACCCAAGTTATGAGCATCACCTCTTGCTTCTGCCCCATGGTTCTGCCTTGTGCTGCTCCGCAGAGGATAGCGTTCAGCTGTTTACTACTCTTTTTCCCTTCCAGAGAACCCTTTTCATCTCTAATATAACCTCTGACTGCAGATTTCTGGCACAGCACTTACAATTCCACATAGCATAAAATGTGTAGTTTTAAAAAATAAGATGGATGAATAATTTAACAGAATAACATAAATTTAATCTAGTTTGCAGCTTTATTGCAATCGCCCTTTCAGGAGCATGTGTGATAATGGCTCTGACAGTATGTATAATCACTAAACAACTTTCTTGCTGCTCTTGATCTCTTTTCTTGGTGACATTATTTAGAATTCTGACCTTTCAGAATAGCACTTTTCCCTAGATCATTGCTATTAATTTTTTAAAGGACTTTATTTGAATTTTCTGCATTGATCTTTCAGGGATGCTTACTAGCCTGACATTAACCTTCATGTGTGAAGGCTAAGCCCTTAATGTTGAACTTATCTGGGGCCCAAGTGGTGCACAGACTTCTTTTTGCCTCTTAGCACTGGTACGAATGTCACCTTGAAAGCTTGGCATAGAAATACTCATTTAGTCTTCAAATGAAGTCTTCACTGAAGACTTCATGACTACCTCCATACTCCCTATCATAGTACATAGATACTCCCTGTCTTGTCCTTAAAGAATCTGTGCAGACTTCCTAGATGTGAGAAGTAGCCATCTATTTCTTCTCTCTCTCTCCCTCATCATTAGCCACTGCTGCATCTGCAGCTCAGCTTGGCAGACTCCCTTTAAGATAGTGAACTCAAGTATTTCTGGATGTTTATTCAGGGAACCATGAAGTCCAGGGCAGGCTCCACCCAAGGAGTCACTTCTTAAACGGCACAGTTCCAGTGGTTTGCCATCATATCAAGATCACTGATATGGGAACCAACTGGGAAACAACATCTGTAGGAGTGAAACTGGGGGCGGGTAGTCAAAGGGACTTTGCCTCCACAAAGCAGGGGCTTTCAGGTCTGTGCCTGAGGAGAGCAAGGGGAGGTGATGAGCTCCATACCACCTTGAGCATGGATGGAAGACTACTGATGATAGCAGTCAAGCAGAAGCGGGGGAAATAACAAGCAGTTTAGGAAGTGGCTGAGATTTCACTACCAGGTCACCCAAACCTCTGCCAGTGGAGCTACACCTTTATAGGTTCCTTAAAATTAGCTGCTGTCAGTCT